TCCAGGTGTTTCTTGACTTCCTACTTTTGCATTCCAGTCCCCTATAATGAAAAGGACATCTTTTTTGGGTGTTAGTTCTAAAAGGTCTTGTAGGTCTTCATAGAACCGTTCAACTTCAGCTTCTGCAGTGTTACTTGTCAGGGCACAGGCTTGGATTACTGAACTCTGGGAAACAAACAGAGATCATTCTGTCATTTTTGAGATTGCATCCAAGTACTGCATTTCAGACTCTTTTGTTGACTATGACGACTACTCCCATTTCTTCTAAGGGATTCCTGCCCAGAGTAGTAAATATAATATTCATCTGAGTTAAATTCACCCTTTCCAGTCCATCTTAGTTCACTGATTCCTAAAATGTCGACGTTCACTCTTGACATCTCCTGTTTGACCACTTCCAATTTGCCTTGATTCATGGACCTAACATTCCAGGTTCCTATGCAATATTGCTCTTTACAGCATCAGATCTTGCTTCTGTCACCAGTCACATCCACAGCTGGGTGTTGTTTTTGCTTTGGCTCCATGCCTTCTTTCTTTCTGGAGTTATTTCTCCACTGATCTCCAGTAGCATATTGGGCACCTACCGAGCTGGGGAGTTCATCTTTCAGTGTCCTATCTTTTTGCCTTTTCATACTGTTCATGGGGTTCTCAAGGCAAGAATACTGAAGTGGTTTGCCATTCCCTTCTCCAGTGGACCACATTCTGTCAGACCTCTCCACCATGTCCCGTCCGTCTTGGGGGTCCCCACACGGCATGGCTTAGTTTCATTGAGTTAGACAAGCTGTGTTCTGTCTGATCAGATTGGCTAGTTGTCTGTGGTTGTGGTTTCAGTGTATCTGCCCTTCAACGCCCTCTCTCAGCACGTGCTGTCTTACTTGGGTTTCTCTTAGCTTGGACGTGGGGTGTCTCTTCACGATTGCTTCAGCATAGCGCAGCTGCTGCTCCTTGCTTTCGACATGGGGTAGCTCCTCTTGGAGACCTTGGATGAGGGTCAGGTTCTCTTGGCCATGCATCCGCCACTCCTAGGCTTAGATTTTAAATATAAAATCTAGGGAAGATAATACCAAAAGCTGTATTCTGTATCAGAAAATCAGTGACTCGAGTAAATGCTGATTTTAAAGGAGTTCATGTATAACAACACTTGAATTTTTAGAGGACTTTAAGTATGAGCAAAGTGTGATGACTGCCAAAAATATTTTTAGTAAATGCAGGATGACAGGAGTGCAGGGAGTCATGCTTCTTCACTAGTCATCTCATATCCTAAAAACTGTATTCAGTCCTAAAGATTTTACCATAAAAAGACATTGACAGTCTAGAGTTTAGCCATATAACTTCACATATTATCTAGGATGATGTTGCAGGGACTCAAGAAAGGAGCTAAGAGAAATGATACTACACGTGTGGAGAAACAAAACCGTGGACAGTAAAAACTTTTAAAAATATATGTTAATATGAATAGTCCAGTTTAAAAAACCATCAAACTGCATTGTTGAATTTCAGAATGGGTCTAACCATTTTCTGATGACTCTTTCTTAAAATCCATTAAAATGCTGAACTTAAATGTTTCATTTATGTACATTCATGTATGGTTACATTCATAGGTAATGTATTTCCCACTGATGATTTTTATTTATTACTGTAGATCATACCTCACTCCTGTTAGAGATGAAGAGTCTGAATCCCAAAGAAAAGCAAGATCTAGACAAGCAAGACAGTCTAGAAGATCAACACAGGTATATTTAATGTGTGTGATATATAAAAGTTCAGAATTATGTTTCCCCTTTTCGCATTTCTGTGAAAATATTGATCTCAGTAAATAGTATGAATGAATCTTAAAATATAAAAGTTGCTTTAGTAATCCTACTGTAGCCTTTTAAATATGGCTATAGTGTTAATACTACATTTTGTCTAATTACATTTCATCTCATATTACATATAGCTATTACTGTTAAGGCATGTTTTATATGCCTTTGTATATTTCTTTGAATATTTATGTTTCTATTCCTAATATAGTGTCTGATTCAGAGTATTTGATTAGTGTTAAAAATGAATCACATATGATGACTCATAATTATTAAATAATTCTGAGTATTTGGAAGGGGTGGGAAATAAGCATTTTATGTTAGTTATTTCAAAAAGCTAATGTGCAAGTATGAGGAAAATGTCAACTACAGCTAATTATCATCTTCTTACCTCCTTGCCATTCTGATTCTGTCTCTTATATCTCTTTCTGTCTTCCCTTTCCCTCAGTTCAGGGGCTCCAAAGTCCAGATTAAACTATTAGATCCTTACCATTACTTACATTTCAAGTTACACTGTGTATTTGGTAGGATCTTAACATTTTTTTTTTAACATGTTTTTTCTGTCTGTGTACCTTTACATCTTGAAATTCAATCTATCCTTTTGGGGACTTAACCTTCAAAAATTACCGCTTTACTGAAATCTTCTCTTTGTGCATCTGCATATATAAAAACTCATAAATACATGTAACTTTAATGTATAAATAGTGTATATATTGGCTTTTCCTTCTTTCTTTGAACTTCTTACGAATATTTATATTCATACGGTCAGTTCCTGTGCTGTTTTGTTAATTTCTTTAATATAGAGACAATTTCTTGCATTATATTTTATTTCTTTACCAGTACATATTATTGTGCTTGCTCATGATGATTCTTCATAGAATGAATATGACTTGCTAAGTAGAAATTCTGTTTAAATTTGCAGACCAGTTCTAAACATGCATATTTGACTTCTAATACATTCATATTTAATTTAATTCACCTTTTTTTGTGTGTAGGGGGTAACACTGACTGATCTTCAGGAAGCTGAAAAAACAATAGGGAGGAGTCGTTCCACCCGAACCAGAGAACAAGAAAATGAAGACAAAGAGGAAAAAGAGAAACAGGATAAAGAGAAGCAGGAAGAAAAGAAGGAGTCAGAAACATCTAGAGAAGATGAGTACAAACAAAAGTACTCCAGAACATATGATGAGGTAATAATATGCCAGCAGCACAGCAGGTCACATGGCATGGTTGGTTCTTGTGATTCTCAGAATGCAAGAGATTTATTTACTAACAAACCACATACAAATTACTCATAAGGATTTTAACTGGAAGTCTTAATTATTTTGACATGAGTAGAACATTACTTTTCCTTTAAAATGAACTTAAATATTTTATGTTTTTATCTGTGTTTAATATTACAAATGGGTGTTAATTTTCACGTTTCACAGACTTATCAACGCTACAGACCAGTATCAACTTCAAGTTCAACCACTCCCTCCTCTTTACTTTCTACAATGAGCAGTTCACTTTATGCTTCAAGTCAGTTAAACAGGCCAAATAGTCTTGTAGGTATAACTTCTGCCTACTCCAGAGGATTAACAAAGGAAAATGAAAGAGGTAAGAACGAAAATTTGAAAGCACTTTGTTTCCTTCAGATGATTCTTTGAGTTGGTTTTTCCTAATTAATATAGTTTAACAGAAAAGAACCAACATCCTAAAGTGGGACTCAGTTCTACCTAACCAGAGAGAATATGATGGTTGAGAATGAGAAAAGTAGAAAATAAAAACAGAAAATTGTATGATCTGGCATTGATACATGTATCTTTATTGCCTAAGACTTCAAAAATCTTTATGTAGATCAACATAGAAAACCTGGTGGGGTGATTATTTCTAAGAACAGTTTAGTGATGTTTCAAGTCATTTCTTGCATATTATGTAGATCACATCTTTTAACTATTTATTGTGAAATTGTTTTAAAAATAATTTAACATATAAATATAAACTCCTTGCCAAAATTATTTCTATGTTTATTTCTTGAAAAATAGTTTTCTTTTTCAGCTGTATATTGGCATGTTGATGCTAACTATTAAGATTTCCTATTATTGCATATAAACTTCCTATATAAACACTGATTAACTCCTACTTTAAGAAATGGGTGCTAAATAAAAGTATTCCAATTGTAGGTATTTTATATTTTAAAAGCAAAATCAGATAGTATTAGTCATGATAATATCAGTAGTCCTATAGGAGTAAGCTTCAGAAAATTAAAATTTTTTCAATTGCAAGCTGACTCTTCCTTTTGTTGGTCATTGAAATATTTCAGTTCTTTAAACCTCTGAGTGTGAGGCCTGTATAATAATTATAAAAATTTTGAGCCAACATTTAAATTATGGATATTTGCATAAAAGTTCAAATTTTTGTCTTCTATTAAAAAATTGGAAGATATGGCAACACTGGATCTGAATTCTCACATCAACAATTGATTAGAGCTGAGAAATAGCAGGCCCTTTGGAGTTGTGCCCCCCTGGTTTGACCCATTGGTTTTACCCATTTCTATAACCTGGATGACCACTGTTGGTTTTGGAGTTTGAGGCCTTTGCACTAAACTAATTCTAAAAACATTAAACCCCTCTTAATACTAGAATTTTGGAGTTTCTTTTGCTGCCTTTTCTTCACAGGAGACAAGGAGCCTGCTGATGACACAGGAGCCTTTTGACAATCATTTCTAGCATTACTTTGCTCCATATGTCTCCTTTTTAAAGCATATCCAGAGGTTCTAATAGTCTTCTAGTATGTGAGTCTGAGGATATTTTAACTATCCCAGGAAGGGAACAAATTTGAAGACTTTACATTGATTTGTTTTTATAAAAGATAATTTTTTTCCCAGGGGGGATAAAAAGGTTTGCTCTGAAATACTAAAAGACTATTCTATTTATTCTACTGCCCAGTGAGGACTGGGAATGGTAGAGGTAGAAGCTGATAAATTTGTATGCCTACTAGCTGTTCCATTGTTACAAACTGTTTGGGTATGATAACTATTTTCCTGTCAGACATTAATAACTAGGGCCCCATTCTCTTGATAGGATTCATTTATTTTCTCTTCAGTAAATATTATGAAATGTGTCTTTTAAGCAAAATTTTTGTTTTAAGCACTAGAAAAATGAAGTAATTAAAATTAGTTCTTGATTTCAAGAGTGTATCAAATGGGAGATACAGACATGTTTAAACCAAGTGTTACAGGAGCAATGAGGGGACAAAAATTATTTCTGATTAGAGAACTTCAGAAACTTTCACAGAGGTTGACTTAGAATTGTTTTCATACTTACTTTGCAAATACTCTCAAGATGCATTGCTGCCATATGATTAATTTTCAGCCTTAACAGAGGGAGAAAAGAAAGAAGAAGAAAAAGAGGGGGAAGATAAATCACAACCTAAATCAATCAGAGAACGACGGCGACCAAGAGAAAAAAGAAGATCTACAGGAGTTTCATTTTGGACACAAGATGTGAGAGCCTGTTAAAATATAACTAATTGATGTATTCTTAATATTTCTAGGAGTGTACACTAATAATTTCTTGTATGTCTCAGATTATGTATTCTTTAGGTCATCACTATGTGTTTGAGCTAGTTATTTAAATCAGAAGAGTTTTTCTTTTTAAGAATAAACAACTCAGATTTCCGACATTACTTACAAGCAAGAGTACTGTCCCAGTATTGGAATAAAGAAATAATGGCTGCAATCTTATAAATTTTAATTTTTTCTTCTTCATCTCTATTTGCCTGACATTGCTGTTCATTTGCAGGAGAAAGAAGAACTATGGGATAACACAGTTAATGTGAAATTTATCCTATTTCAATACAACATATATCTCAGAAAGGCGAAACTAATCTTGTTTTGGGGGATTATTTTTTTAGCCTTTTCTTTTTTTCTAGAAAAAAAAATGCAGAAACGTTTAAACATAAAGAAGTATATCATCCTACCCCAGATATTCATTGTTAAGTTAAATCTCTACCACTTTTCCAACTCCCAATTATTTTGAAGAAAATTTTAGTAATACTATATACATAAAATTTCAGTATGAATTTTCAAGAGATGAGGACTCCTTTTTAAAATATTAAAATTTTATTTTTTAAAAGTAAACATAAATATTATCTTTTAATGAGTGATCATAATACCATGATCATGTTTATTTTAAATAAATTGACAATAAATCCTTACTGTTGAATAGACAGTCAGTTTTAATGTCCTCCAGACTCATATTGCCATAAATGGTCTGTTGTATTTTTATTTTTTGCTGATTTGATTAGCATCCAAATAAGGACCGTAAATTATTAGTTTTTTCTTTCAAGTCTCTTAAAAAATCAGTTACTCCTTCCATCTCGTTTTTTTCTTACAATTATTTTTTAATGAATTGGGTTATATTCCTGAAGTATAGTTGAACACATACATGTAGTTTTTTGTGTTTCCTATAAATTGGTAATTTGAGGTGTAGAAATGATCAGATTCTGGTTCAGTATTCTCTTGGCAGGGTGTTTTTTTCCTTTGTCAGGATGTACGTGATGTCTGGTTGATTTTAATTGATTGCCCAGTAATATTTTAATAATAATAATAAAGCCTGTCAGTCTTAGCATCTTAGTAACTCTTACTACTTAAAAATTCTTACATTTTTAATAACTTATATGTATTAGGTGTTTAGTAAGCAAAGCTTTTTTATACAGTATTTATTTTTCCCCAGTTTTATTTGGACCAGCTCTCCCTTCAAAACTCTACTTTCTAGAGTCATACACGTAACCAGCATTATAATGATTGTTCCTGAGATCTGTATAGGCAATAGTCATCTTTTTAATTTGACCTTGCATTGAATTGTGTTCTAATCAGCCATCAGCACAAATGTCCTTTCATTTCCATAGCCACATGATTGAACCTGTATCAAACAGTTTAAGGGCTCTGTCAAAGAAAGGGTGGTGTATGGTTAGGCAAGCTATTATTTAGGTTTCTTTTTTTTTCTTTCTTAGTTACTTACCACTTTTCAAGAACTCTGAGCCTCCCCATTTTTTAAATTTTCAGTTCCTGTATTCTTCTGTGAAACAGTAATGCGTAAAGACAACCAGTTCATATTGTGGAGTTAATACATTTATATTAATAAATAATGCTAGTAGTAGCAGCATTGATTTCTCCTGTTTGCTTAGTAACTTCAAATACCATTTTTGCTAGATACCACGCAATAGGTTGTATAAAGATCCTCTATAATCCTTAGGACAATTCTGTAATGTTTTTATCCCCACTTTATGGATGAGGTAACTATGACTCAGAATTTTCTTTATTAAATTTACCCTAACTCACAGAGCTGAAAATAGCTGTACCAGCCTGAAATAGGATGATTTAGTCTTAAAGTCTGTTGTATTTTTATATTGAGCCTGAGCCAGATGGGTTGATTGTGTATTTCCCTTTTCTTTTAACCCTTTAAGGTTTATTGAGTTTTTAAGCCTTCTGATAGAATATTCCCATTGGCTGAATCTAGGCTTTTAGCCTACCAAGCCCTGTGTTTTCTATTTGGTGTGCTATAAATTCCCAAGAAATTGCTAGATAGCTAAACTACCTAAACATAATAGGATTGCTATATAAATCTTACCAAGCTTATAGAATAGAGCTTTTCTTTTTAATGTTTCCTATTTTTGCTGCCTCATTATATTTGGGCAGCTAAATAGTATCTGTTTTGACTATTAAAGTACATGCAATAACGTCACAATATAAAATTGAGTATCGTATTTTCACATTAAACCTCCAGCATCCTCATCCCCAGTATGAATGTGTTTCTTAAATCAGAATGTTAGGTAAATGGTCTTTCTTCACTATATATGCTAACCTAATGAGATTGTACTATGCAGATAAAACAGGCTTCCTGTAAAGAGGGTAGAAAAATTCCCACTTAGAAACCAGTTTTCCTTTCCTGTTACGTTTTCCCAAGTCATTTTAAATTAGAAAAGCCTTAATATATTTAAATGTTAACTGTTTCAAAATTATCTTTACTTTTCTAAAATAAATTGATTATCTATTTTAGAGTGATGAAAATGAACAAGAACAACAATCAGATACAGAGGAGGGATCCAATAAGAAAGAAGTTCAGGTAATTAGCATTATTTTTTTTATTTAGAAATATTTGTATTTTTGTATTTTTAAGGATTGCTTTTTACTTTTGTTTATATCTATTCATATAAGGCAGTTACTGTACACTGTACCTGCATGCTGGGGTTAGACCATCAGTGGTTTTCTGGAATCAGGTGTGGAGGGACTGGAAAGGGTCACAAAGAGTATTTGAGAGACACTGGGAATGCTCTAGATCCTGATTGAGAGGGTTTTTTTGGGTATACACAACTGTCAAAACTCATCAAACTGTATACTTTAAGTGGATCTAGTTTATTGTATGTATGTTAGCCTTCAAAGTTGAAAAGAGAAAACAAGAAAACAGGTTTCCACTGCTCTCCAAAAGTAGACTGTTCAGTAATCTTTTGTAAGCCACATAAAGCAAAGAGGGAATTACCTTACAACACATCTTGCTAACGGTTGCATGGCGTAAATTGAGATAAATTGCAGTGCACACAGTCAAAAGCTATGGCAACTTAAACTGAGTGTAGTTCCCAGGAAGGAGCTTGGAGAGGCCTCTGTTACTCCTTAACGAGTTCTGCCTCTATAATGGCTTGCTGCAAAACACATTGAATGCTATTGTCACTTTTTGCCTTTAAGCAGGGACTACCTGTTAAACCTTTGACCAAAGAAAAGTATCTAAAGGCTATCCAGAAGTAGCGCATACCTTACCAGACCCAGATTTTAGTTTTGTTAACAGTGGAGTTATATTCTGGAGAAGATAATAGGTCATTTTAACTTTCTTTACATTTGTTGAGAAATTTCGTGTCTCTAAACGACTTTTACATTCTTTATCACTGCTGATCTTTCCAGTAATCTTCAGGAAAAGTTTCCCTGCCCTTCAACCCCAGTACTGATTAAAGAAATTGAGGCAAGTTTGATTGACAAGTTTGCATAGCTGTCAAATGACCAAGGTTTCTTCCCACTTGTTTTTTCCCCTTCTGTTTCTATTGTTTGGCTCTGCACAAAGCTGACATACATGGAAGAACTTTGTTACATGGGAATAGATTGTACAATATGAGTTAGTCTTAATGTTTTAAATTGAACAGTGTCCAGCCTGAAACGGCATTCTGGTCATATTTTCTTCATTTTGGTTTGACATTCCTATGTAGAGCTGTTAAGATTACTTTTAGTTGTTGGGATTGACAATAATGTGAAGTGACCAGAAGTTGGTTCCCTGTACTAGGTGACTGTGGACATTACTCTTAGGACCAAGTTTGTGTATTTTGACCCAAAAGGTACTTTTTGTTTTATCTTTAGGTAGCCAGACAAGTTGAAGAATCAGTTACTTCCAAGGGTGAATTTTTTAAAGGACAAGTTTTGTAATTTTAAAACCCTTTGCCTGTCAGTTGTCAGCACTTCCCCATTCACCTATGTCTCTTGTTTATTATTTTCTGTAAACTTGTCCATCATCTTCCTTGCCCAGTGACACCCTATGAATTCTCATCTCTCAAGGAGAAACAGTGGACAGATAAACAAGAGTGAGGGAATTAGTAAACCATTTCCAGCTGACACTTCTCACCACCATATCACACAGATCCCCGGTCCCACCAGGCTGGGGTAGGAGGGGAAAGATTTTCTGGCTTCCAAACTTGTGGTTTTGAAGCATATTGATATATGTTATATTTAAGTTTTACTGTTAAAATTATATATGATATACATTGAGTAGAATATTGTTTTTATGAAAAAAAAATTTTCTTAGTTCCAAACAATTTAAGTAGTTTTTGTTCATTTTAAATAGAGCATTATTTAGAGCTTGCTTTGTGCTAGCATTTTTTAATTTACAAGCAGCACAACACTCAGCTTGAACTGGATTAAGCAAAGATAATTTACTGTATGTCAATTATATTATACAACCATCTGTGTCAACTTCATCCTCAGGCTGCTTTACAACATAGGACTGGAATTAGGTAATTAGTTTAGGCCAGATGAGGCCCTCCACTGAGATAGTTCAGCTGTTTTGCTGTGAATATGGGCTGCATACCACCTCACCTAAACTTAGTGACTGCTGTACCTTGAGAGAAAGGGAGAGTGGAAGTTAAGACACTGACTTGTAGTGTCTTCCTCAATAGACTGGAACAGTGCTTCCACCAAGTGAGAGTTGCTCTCTTATGAAAATTTGTAGTGTCAGCCCTTGCTTTTCTGTGAAAAAGTATGATCAACCCAATTCTGTGCATTTTTGAAATAGTGTTATCACTACCTCAGAAGTGTGTTTTATAACAAAACTTTTACTCAGTTATAGAATCCAAGTTCACCAAATTGTAAAAATGACTGTGGCATATACTTTTTTGCTTTAAAGAAAAGTAAATCTTAAGTTAACCAGAAAGTTGTTAAATTTTTTGAACTGCCTTTGAAACTACCTTCAGGATATAAATTTTTTTTTTTAGGATATAAATTTTTTAAAAATTAAAATAAAATTTGATCCAGAAAACCTGAATTACTTTATCATAGTGTGGTTCATTATTCCATAAATGGGCCTTATGTTGCTTAGGCTGTTACGATTTGCTTTCATTAAACTATTGGATGGTAAAACTTCTACCATGTGAAGAACATTAGTAATAAATCAAAAATTTAAATAAGGAAGCATGGCAAGAAACTGTGAAGAAAGGATTAATAGATTTGATTATTTAAACATGAAAAGCTAGGAAATTACAAAAAAGACATCTTTATTAAAATTGAGACACATTTGCTCACTTAAAAGTAAATAGTGTAGCCCTCTTTTATAGCATTTAAAAGATCAATATTTGTATTATTTAAAAGACACAGTTTAAAAAAAATTGGAAGCAGAATCCATGAAATTTATAAACATAACAAAAGAAGAAATACAAATGGCCAATAAGCTTAAAATACATTTACTCTCTTTAATAACCAAAGACATAATAATACCAAAGTGAAATCGACAAAGGTTTGGCATGATTAGTTTTGAAATAGGCATTCTCATATAACAATTTGGGGCTATAATAAATTTATTTTCTTGAGAGATCAGTTGAGCAACACAAAGCTGAAGCCTTCAGAAAAAGTTCATGCCTCTTCGCTTTTCAGTTCCACTTCAAGAAATTTATTTCCAGTGAAATGACTTATGTATGCAAAGATAAGTCTAAAGTGTTAATAGCAGCATGGCTTTTGAAGCAAAATATTAAAAACTTTCAAAATGTCTATTAGTTGGGAATAGTGGAAATGTATTTGTATGGATAGATACTTTATGTGTTCACATAGATATGTATACAGAAAAGATTAACAGTAGTTATCTAGGGCATTTGAGAGATGGGGAATTATAGAGGAACTTTGTTGTAGTATGGTATATGATCTTATGGTATTGTAGTCAGAAGAACTTAAAGGATATTTTTACCTCAGAAAAACATTTTAAAAACACACGGGGGGGGAAAACACAGGGATCATGCTAAGTGAAATAAAACAGGTCACCAGAAAACACCTGTGTGATTCCACGGGCTTCCCTGTTGCTCGGACAGTAAAGAATCTGCCTGCGATGCTGGAGGCCCAGGTTCCATTTCCCAGGGTAGGGAAGATCCCCTGGAAAGGGGAATGGCAACCCACTCCAGCTTTCTTGCCTGGAGAATTCCACGTACAGAGGAGTCTGGTGGGCTGTGGCTGATGGGGTCTAAAAGAGTCCAATACAACTGACACGCTTGCGCTCTCACCAACGTATTCAAACTCTTGTGTAACAGAGAGTAGAATTGTGGTTTCCAGGAGCTGAGAGTAGGAGGGTATGGAGATTTGTCTAGTGGGTATAAAATTAGTTTTGCAACATGAAAAAAGTTGTAGAGAGCTGTTACACAGCAGTGTGAATATAGTTAGCGTTACTGAACTATACTCTTAATTAAAAGTGACTTGGATGATTTTTTGTTTTATGTGCTTTTTACTAAAATTTTTAAAAAATATAACCAAGAATTCCCTGGCAGTCTAGTGGTTAGGACTCCAAACTACCACTGCGGGAGGCATGTGTTCCATCCCTGCTTGGGGAACTCAGATCCTGCATGCCACACAGCATGGCCAAAAACAAATATATATGTAACATAATAATAGCACCATGACTTTTAAAGACAAAGAAATAGAATTTGAGTGATTTCTGTGACTACTAGAAGTTTTTATTTATTCTTTAAGTTAAACCAGTGAACCAGAGTTCAAACTGAGGTGAGAAGTGATGTTTTCATTCGATATGTATACATTTTATTTCACATGTGGATATTTTCCAGAATTTGAATAAATAACATCTTTTTGTTAGCTTCTGCTTTCTTTAATTGAGATATAATTGATAAATAAAATATTCCACATTATTATTCAATATTTGTGTATTGTGAAATGTTTAGTACAGTAAACATCCATCACCACGCATAGACACATAGATATAATTATTTTCTTGTGATAGGAACTTTCAAAATCTATTCTTTCAGCAGCTTATGGATTTGAATTACATTGCGAAAATTGAAATTTAATTTGATAATTATTATAAAACTAAAGAATAAATCAATAAGGTAAAGCATTACATTAAAAAAAAATGGGCAGCAAGTATAAAATTGGTTTTGCAAAGGAAACCTAAATAGACTTTAGTAAGACATTTTTAATCTGAATGAGACAAAAACAGTTCCAAAGGAACCCAGTGATTTCACAAGACATTTAAAGGTAAATATAATGGGAAAATTCAGATATCTAAAATTCAGAAATTAAGCCATTTCTGAATAGTTACTTTATAGAAAATTATGTTTCAATAGAAAGAGCTAAAGATGCTAATCCCCAAAAAAGTCTTTAACTCCATTGAGACTATTTTATCCTATTAATCATTTCACCATTTACATTAAGAAGAGCTTTGAAACTTCAGTATAGCATACCACTTGCTTGAGAAAATTATATGCCCTCATTGCTAAAGTTTGAAGGATTGTATAGCTGGATTTCCAGAAAATAAATTGTAAGCAAAATATGTATATACTGTTGTACATTAAATACTTTAGTATTCATTTGTTGGTCTCTCCTGTTATTACCTCAAAAACAGAAAAATGGGAAAGATAGTTGCTTTGAGATGTCACATAATAAACGTGCATTTCTTAATGTAAATATGTTACTTTCTCCTGCTAAGTAAATTGTAAGTTATGGGTATGTGTCTTAGTCTTTCTTTTTTTCCCTCCTAATTATAGTGTCATTTGTAGAAATTCACAAAATATGAATTTAAATTGAGAAATGTAATTGTATAGTATTGGACGAGTAGAAATATATGGTGACTTTTTTCTAGAATTTCTTTACAAAACAACCACATTGATGTTAAAGTGCATAGATTAGATATGTATTAGTTTATTAGTGTGAAAATAGTATTGAAGTTAAATTTTCTTGATTAATCAGTGAGTTATTTAAAGCATAAAAATTTAGCTACCCTTATGTTTTTCTCTTTTTAGACGGATTCCATTTCTAGGTACGTTTTACTTTTTTTTTTTAATTGATCTTTTTCTCATTTTATCCTTTCTAAAAATATGTTGCTAGATATTGATAAATTTTTTAAGTTGATAGAATTATTTTAGTAATAAAAAAATCTATAGATATTTAGATGACCTGATAGGTGTTAATAACTTTCTTCATCAAAGGCTTTACTTCTAGTTCAGTTGTTGTAGTAAGTTGCTAAGAAAGATTTTCTTTGCAACAGTGATAGTTTTCTTAAGCTTCCTAAGTTACTTCAACATTAACTATCTCATTATTCACATTAGAAGCCAATGAAATCCACCAAAAATTTATTTCATCAGGTACTCAGACTCTTCTCCCTTATCCCTGCTTCAGATTAAAAAAGAAAAAGCCAATGAAGACACTTTTAAAAAGTGTAATCTAGCTCAGATTGTTCAGTTTTTCAGAGAACCTCCACCAATATATTAATACTTGAGTCTAATTTCTATTCCTCTTCTCTTGCCAATAATTGTTAACCAAAGCCTTATAAAACCAAGGACAAATTTTTATATTCTCATGATTCTTTTGAATTGAAATGTGGAGGCATTAGCATTTATCAGAAAAAAACCAAATTCAGAACCAGATAATAAGAAGATCCTCATCTTCAAATGAGATACGTTCTTCTTCCTTAGGACAAACCTATTTCTGTTATCTCTCAGTATCTCCAAGGATTTGGTTCCAAGAACTTATCCCACCCACCCAACCCAGTGGGTTTCAAAATCCACAGATGTGCAAATCCCCTATATAAAATGGCATAGTACTGTCTGTTTATTACTCTGGATAGACTCTAGTTAATTCATCATCTACAGTGTTACTAATTTTAAAATACAGTCATATGCCACTTAAAGGAAAAGTGCTACCAATTAAACTGTAATACACATCAGTTGTAAGCCATGTTCTGATTTCAGAGATGTTAAAATGTGAAAAAAATATATGATTTTAAATTGTTGAAATAATTTATCATGATGTAAAACCAGTTTTGACTTTTAGATATAGAGAATTTTGAACCACCTCCTCAAACAACGGAAGTTAGTATTAAAAATAACTTCCCGTTTATTTATTACATATCATGAAAGTTGATTAGATAACTGATAAAGGAGAATATTATCTACTATTTTGGAATATCTAGTTAAATATACTAGGATGCATGTTAATATGTGAAAGCCTATAATAAAGATTTTGACTTAAACTCATCTTTTGAAGATATGAACTCAGTTCTACATCAGCTAGTGATCGGTATGATTCCTTGCTGGGTCGCTCTGGATCATACGGTTACTCAGAAGAAAGAAAACCTTACAGTAGCAGGCTAGAAAAGGATGATTCAACTGACTTTAAAAAGGTACTTGGGTTATTCAGTTATATTTAATTAAAAATAATCTCTGTTGAGATTTTTATGTTTGGATATTACTCCTGGAAACTCAAAGCACTTTCTTAAAATGACTTAACTTTAATTTTTCAGTTTTTGGCAGTTAATGGTAAGTAGAATATGAATAGCTATTTGCTTGCCTTTTTAAAGGAAAGGGGAAGGTAACCAGGACCACCTGCACATTGACGTTTCTTAGGCCAGTCCTATGGTTGAGCTGAAAGGGACATTGAGTAGATTTGGAGCAGAGTGGGTAGTGTGCGTGTGTGTGTGAGAGAGAGAGCCATCTTTTCTTTATTTGTTACCAGGAAGCAGCCAAACAAAGAATATGACTTTTCCCAAGAGAATATAATATTTTCTAGGTAACTGAAAACTTAATGATAGTTCAGGTGCTATCAAGGATGAAACTAATTAAGAAATAAGTCCTGGAAACAAAGCAATCTAGAATTTTGAAGATCAAGATTCTTCATATTTATAAACTTTGAATAAATATAATGAAGTTGATTGAAGGAAAAGGAAGGTTTGTAGTAATTGTACATGTCAAGAGAAATTTGGCAGCTATCTTAAATTGCCCATTAAGAAAGTAAAATCAACAGAAGGAAGATAGGGGTCAGTTTATGTTAGGAATAAGATTCAGTCATTTGTTCAGTAAAGAACTGAACACTGAAGTGAACTCAGTAGTGAAGTTCTACTTGTGGCCAGTGGAGATGGAGATACTTTTCCTGCTCTGATGAGTATCTTCCATGGAGTAGGCAGACAGACTTGATCATATAATCATACAAATCAGTGGATAATTTCTAAATTTGAAACCATTATGCTGAAGTAAAGACACAGTTTTATAAAAGTATATAGCAAAAGGAAGTGACAGGGTCTGAGGGTAGATTTCCTGTGGTACATACATATAGTGGAATATTACTCAGCCATAAAAAGGGATGCATGTGAGTTTTAATGAGGTGGATGAACCTAGAGCTAATTATACAGAGTGAAATAAGTCAGAAAGAGAAAAACAATTATTCATATTAAGCATTTATATATGTGGGGTCTAGAAAGACGGTGCTGATGAACTTATTTGCAGAACAGCAGTGGAGACACAGACATAGAGAACAGACTTACGGTTTTGGAGAGCGGGGTAGGGGAGGAGAAGGACAGGGTGGGGTGTATAGAGAGAGAAACATGGACGCGTACATGACCATGTGTAAAATAGACAGCCAATGGGAATCTGCTGTGTGACTCAGGGAACTCAATCAGGGCTCTGTAACAGCCTAGAGGGTGGGATGGGAGGGAGCTGGGAGGGCAATTCAAGAGGGAGGGGACATATTTATAACTATGGCTGATTCATGTTGATATTTGGCAGAAACTAAGACAATTTTGTAAAGAAGCTATCCTTCAGTTTTTTTAAAAATTAATTTTTAACAAAAGAAGTAAAAATTCAGCCAAGAACAGAAAGACAATTAGTAATCAACTGGCAAAATGGGAGAAAAAGATGTTTCAGATGGAATTACAAGCACATGGACCAGCCTGATGGTGGGAAGGTACATGATGTATTGAAGTAATTAAATTTTTGGTATGGCTGGTAGAGATTGTCATTTTGAAAATTTAACTCTTGATGCTTTGTATACAGTAGATTAGAAGGAGGTCAAGAGAGCAATTCTAATAATGGAAATATCTAGGTAAGAGATAAATGTAGCCATGTGTGGTTGTAATATTAGAGATGAGGGAAAAAGAAGTAGTAGATTCAAGTGTTAAAAATATTTAAGAAATCAGTCACTTTCCTTTTAACTTTAGTAAAAATAATACAAGTATAGTGATAAATGCCACTGATGTTCCATCTCAGTGTCAGGAATTAAAGAGGGCATGATAGGCAGAAAAGCTCACAGACCCCAAATAAAGATCACAACGGCTGTTTATAACCTCAGCTGTGGTCGCTGCACAGGTATGTGGTCCCTCTTTATCAGATAACTGAGTTTTTTAAATGGAAACTGAAAAGTCATGGTTTTCAGTTTAGTCATAAGTTTTAAATCCTGGAACTAGTTTTTGAAGAATTTATGTGGGACAGAGACGCCTGCATAACCAAAAGTTTCTGCCTTGAGACCACAAAGCATTTAAATACAATATATTTAATGTATTTATTGAATAGCTCATGTGTTACATGAATCTTCCTGTTTTAATATTACAAAGTGATCACTGGGAAATCTTCTTAAAATAGAAAGCAGGAAAGTAATTTGTCCTTCTCCACTAATCCGTATAGCTTTACGAACAAATTCTAGCTGAGAATGAAAAGCTGAAGGCACAGCTGCATGACACGAACATGGAGCTGACGGATCTTAAGTTGCAGCTGGAGAAAGCCACCCAGGTTTGTGCCTTCTTTCCTCTTTGTTACTCTAGAGGTAATGTCATTTGTTTCATCTAAAAATTGCATTGTAATTTTCTCTTGTGTTCTGGATGTAAGTTTGGTTATTGATAATAGCTTATTTATTAATAAGGAATCAAGATAATACAGCTTACTAGTAACTTTATGTTTTTCTAATATAGAAGTATAGCCTTATGGTGGAAAGTCGAAGTATTTTTAAGCCTTTTAATCTATATTTTAGTACATGAAGGATTTTAAATGTTTTATTTCCAACATACCAAATGTAGGAAAGCAATAAAGGCATCTATACAGAATCTTGGGCTTCCCTGGGAGCTCAGTGGTAAAGAATCCACCTATCAGTGCAGGAGATGCAGGTTCAATTCCTGGGTCAGGAAGATCCCCTGGAGAAGAAAATGGCAACCCACTCCAGTATTCTTGCCTGGGAAATCCTGTGGGCAGGGGAGCTACAGGACTGGCAGGCTATAGTCCATGGGATCACAAAAACAGTCAGACACAACTTAGCAAATAACAGCAATAATTACAGAGTCTTCTTAAAGCCATAAAAATTTTTTATAATAGTTTTTATTCATTTAGAATGTTTACTGTTAAAAAAAAAAACTGATTTAATAATAATTCTGAAAGAAAATAACTACCTGGCAGAGATAATTTTAGAAAAGAAACTTGGATAGCCAAGCAGAACTAGGCCTTAGATCATATACATCCTAGCCTTGTATATAGGATTTAGGATGTGTATGATCTAAGAATTGTTTTCCAAGCTCTTTTTTCGTAAAGCACTAGTTCTGGGAGATAATAAGTGCTGTCTCCTCTTCCTCCTCGTTCTTCTCCTGCTCCACTTCAAAACAAAAAAAGAAAAGAGCTTTGTGACCCATGTAACTGAGAAATACTGTATATTCTGTATCTTGGAGATTTAGCAGGGCTGATTTATATGTTAAAGGCTCTAAGGAGTCCTATAAATTATAAGGAAATCAACTTGTTTAATGTTAAACATAAGACTTTGTAGCATAAACACATTTCTACGGTAAACTTTTAGAATCTAGTTTGAAAGTAGTCATCTAGAATGGCATCTTCAGTTCTATAAATGAGACATTACTTTGACTAAAGACTCAAGTAATGAAAGTTTACTCTGAAGATACACAGAGAAATACTGTAGAACAAGAACACATTTCCTAGTGAGGTGTCATAAAAACTTGGAATGTCACACAAGTTTAAACTTGCTGGCTTACACTTAAGTCTCATGGTAAACTGGAATGTCCTCATTCTTTAGGTTGCATTAATAGCTTAGTGAGCCGCTGCAAAATATCATAACTAGTTCCCTGAAAATAGCTTTAGTTCTAGACATTTGGTCATCATACTTTCTAAGTAAAAACAACCGTTGCCCCTACTGCAGTATTGTGTCACTGTGGTGACCCTGCTCACTGCCTTCTCTGTACGTTTCTCTGCTTTTCTGCCTGCTCTGTTGTCGTCTAATGCTTCCTGTAACTTTCTCATTCAGACTCTACAAGAGAGGAGAACTGATAGAATTAGCCAGTTATCATCAGCGTGAAGCAGTCTCGTTAGTGCCCATGGTTCTATTTGTATCCATTTCACAGGACACTGGACAATTATTGCAAGCTGTCTTTGGGTCAAGTACCAATTTCTGTTCCCATTGACTGTGGTCAGAAAAATAAGTCACTGAATTAGAGTATGAGATACCGAGTAAATATTCAAAATTAATATCTTAGTTGGAAACACTGCATAAATTTCATTTCAAAAATTTAGGGGTACATGTAAAAATAAAAGTGACAGAATGTTAAACTTTTTTTTCAACTTTATTGAGTTATTTACCCTGAGTATTTAAGTCTACTGTGAATCTGTGTATTTTTTTAAACATTTCTTTGATGACTATTTATGAATACACATATAGTGGAAGTTTTGATTGCACTGAAAAATTCCAGTAGTTGCATGGAATTTTTCCAAGGAAAACAATCATCTTACTAAGAATTAATCTTGAAATAGTAGATTGTGGACAAAATTTTTTTATAAAATTCAACAATCATTGGCTGATATGTTTAGCAAGCTAGGAAAAAACAGAATTGGAAATTCCTTAGTGGTCCAGTGGTTGAGCCTCCACACTTTCACTGCTTTGGGCCCAGGAAGCTGAGATCCTATAAGCTGCACACATGACCAAAAAAGAAGAAACAAATTAAGCTTGACGTTTAGGTCTGTTTCATAGTTTTCTGCCAAGGACTACAGAATCGTTGAATCCTGCCTTAGTCCAGCCACCCTGCTCCCTATACAGTCCCCAAGGGAGCGAAATAGGCTAATTTGCCAGAAACCAGTTGATGAATAATTATTTTGTCAAATATCAATTCACCAGGTTTCCTCAATGTGATTTTAACAGCTTTAACTGGAATATTTACCAAAAAAATTAAAGTTGTTTTTTTTTAACCTAAAATATTAGCACATGAATCATAAAATTGCTGAACTGTCCCTATATGAAAAAAAAAAACAATAAAATGCTAATTTTCCATTTAACATTTTAGTAATTTATGTGTATTTGACACTGTTCCAGCAATTTTTAATTTCTTTCAGTTGTTGTTTAATGTCTTTTTAACATTTTACAATCTTTTTAGCATTTTACTATTCATTTGCACTTGCTTAAGTGGCATATTTAGCCTTTGTTTTTCTAGCAAAGACATCATAAGTATATCAGAATTGTTAGAAACAGTCTCATCTCATTTGTAATTCTGAATTTGATTTTTAATAATAAGCAACTGGAATACCTAACTTTTCTTTTTCCAGAAAGAGTAAGCACAAAAAAAAAACAGAAAACATGTAAATAACAGACTAAGAATTCCCTGGAGGTCCAGTGGTTAGAACTCTGCACTTGTATTACCAAGGGCCTGCGTTTGATCCCTGGTTGAGGAACTTAAGATCCCATAGGCTGGGTGGTGTTGGTTCCTCCCCCCTAAAAATCAGTTGTATGAGGACTTCCTGGCAATCCAGTGGTTAGGACTGTGCTCTTCCACTGCAGTGGACACAGGTCCGGTCCCTGGTCAGAGTGCTAAGATACCACATGCTGCATGGTGTAGCCAAAAGTCTTTTTAGTTAAAATTTAAAATATATAAAAATAACTAAAACAACAGATTGGATTGCCATGATTGTTGTTGTTGAGTCTTTAAGTCATGACCTTTATGACCCCATGGGCTGCAGCACGCCAGGCTCCCCTGTCCTTCACTGTCTCCCAGAGTTTGCTCAGATGTATGTCCGTTGAGTTGGTGACACCATCTAACTATCTTGTCCTGTGCTGCCCTCTTCGCCTTTGCCTTCAGTCTTTCTCGTGTATGTATCTTCACCAGTGAGTTGGCTCTTGAGGTCAGGTGCCCGAAGTGTTGGCGCTTCAACATCAGTCCTTCCAGTGATTATGCAGGATTGGTTTTCTTTATGATTGACTGGTTTGATCTCCTTGCTGTCCAGGGGACTCTGAGGAGTCTTCTCCAACACAAAGTTCAAAAGCATCAATTCTTTGGCACTTAGCCTTCTTTCTGGTCCAACTCTCACATCCATACGTGAGTACTATAAAAACCGTAGCTTTGACTGTACGGACTTTGTGGGCAAAGTGATGTCTCTGCTTTTTAATACGCTGTCTAGATTTGTCATAGCTTTCCTTCCAAGGAGCAACTGTCTTTTGATTTCATGGCTGCAATCACTGCCCTCAGTGATGTTGGAGCCCAAGAAAATAAAATCTGTCACTGTCCAACTTTCCTCATCTATTTGCCATGAAGTGATGAGACCAAATGCCATGGTCTTAGTTTTTTGAATGTTGCATTTTAAGCTGTTTTTCACTCTTTTCTTTCACCCTCTTCAAGGGGCTTTTTAGTTCCTCTTAACTTTCTGCCATTAGAGTACTATCATCTGCATATCTAACATTGTTGATATTTCTTCTGGCAGTCTTAATTCCAGCTTGTTACTCATCCAGCACAGCATTTTGCTTGATGTACTCTGCATATAAGTTAAATAAGCACAGTGACCATTTAAATTCCCAATTTATAGCCAGTCCATTGTTCCATGTCTGGTTCTAACTATTGCTTGACTGGCTTCCCGGTTTCTCAGGAGACAGATACAACAGTTTGGTATCCCCATTTTTTTAATGAATTTTCCACAGCTGCTTGTGATCTACACAGAGGCTTTTGCATAGTCAATTAAACTATTAGTAATTGCCCTCTGCTCTTCCCTAGTAGCATATTGGACATCTTGTGACCTGTGTGCATACGTAAGTGCTCAGTCGTGTCCAGCTCTTTGCGACCACACAGATTGTAGCCCACCAGGCTCCTCTGTTGATGCGATTCTCCAGGCAAGAATATCAGAGTGGGTTACCGTTTCATTCTTCAGATCTTCCCGACCCAGGGATCAAACCCATGTCTCCAGCATCTCCTGCACTGGCAAGTGGATTCTTTACCACTGAGCCACCTGGGAATCACTCTTCCAACCTGTGGAGGCTTATCTTCCAGTGTCATGTCTTTTTTGTCTTTTCATACTGTTCGTGAGGTTCTCACGACAAGAATACTGGAGTGGTTTGCCATTCCTTCTTCCAGTGAACCACATTTTATCAGACCTCTTCACTGTGACCGGTCTGTCTTGAGTGGCCCTGCACAGCATGTTTCATCGCTTCATTGAGTTACACAAGTCCCTTCACAACGACAAGGCTGTGATCTGTGAAGGGGAGACAGCCATGATTAGATCTTTATTTATATACTAAAACTATAAAAAAAATTTCGCAAGAAGGATCAAAGAGTAACTGCTTTACAAACCCTGATGGTACAAAAATATGAATGTTGAAAGAATTGACAGAAGAGAAAACTATATTAAATGTTTTTGAATTGCCAGATTAATGAAGTTGTGCTTAATCACAAGGAACTGTTTGTGTGTGTGTATGTAGATAGTTTTTTAAAGGATATTTTGTAGTTAATGACCATAAAAGAGGATTCTTGTTAAGTAGTTAGCAAAAACTGTTCTTGGTAAATTTTTAAAATTGGTTATTCAGCACATCTGGGGGATGAACCTTTTAATGAATTCATTTTCAGTAAATCGAACAGGAATCCCAAGGGAAATGTATGAACAGAGGTCATTGTAAATAAAAACTAAGCACTTGCTTTTTTCCCACCCTGTGCTCAGCACCCGCATGCACAGCTCCCTGGTTTTGAACGCAGCGTGCGGCTTAAAGCCCCAAGGGTCCCTTTCATCTCGAGATCGCTGTAGTTGACTGTACAGTGCAGGAAGCAGAAGAGAGAAACATGAGACCTGAGCTTGCAAGGAAGAGAAAAGCTATATAGCTGGGATTTCTTATAAGTGACAAGAGATGTGATCCTTCTTACCAATTTTGGAGCGTGGATGGTTAGAAAAGAAAAGTTTAGAGAAAGAGCTAGCAAGACTAAGAGAGCCATGAGAGAGGGGAAGAGGCCAATTTGCAGGTCAGACTGCATGGGTACAGAGGCACACCATCTTGTCCAAACTGCATTTCAGTCAGGGTCCTGGAATCTGAGCGTTCGGGTTAGCCTCTCTTCACTGTGATGTAGACAGAGAGAGAGCTTGAGCACGGGAGGGAAGACTGGGGCTGTTTTGGCTTTGTGCCCAGTAGTCACCCATCCTTGCTCCCGGCTTAACTGTGAAGACTTGAGGCAAAATGATACATAGAGAATGGCCAAGCATTCCTCTAATAAATCTTGGTTTTAATTTCGGTACAAATTCTGTTTTCTCTTTTCTTTACTCACACTGTATCATTACTCCTCCTGAATAGCATTACAAGAACAGAGGAGCATGGCAGGCTACAGTCCACCGGGGCATAGGAGTCAGACGCATGTGCGCACACACACAGCACAGACACACGTTGCTGTGATCCTCTCCCCTCCCCCATCCTTATTGCACTTACATCTCCTTGTGTTTCTTATCTCCTTACAGAGACAAGAAAGATTCGCTGATAGGTCCCTATTAGAAATGGAAAAAAGGGTAAGTGTTGATCTTAGTGAATAAATAATCATTTTCCCCCTTTATTTTTTGCATAAGCAATAGGTTTTCTTTTAGTTTTGTTTTTATGGACTGTAGTTTTAATTAGTTTAAATTGATATTTATTAATTTGATTATGAATGTCTTCTAGCTTATCTTCTTAATAAAGTCTTACAGGATAAAATTACCTTGTTAAATAAAATTTAATTTACTGTGTTATTCTTTTAATGTACCAAAAAACATATCTTCATTCTGAAACATACACATTGTGGTAGGGAATCTGATATTTTTTAAATGCCATTTATCTCTCTGATTATCTGTGGTGAAACACTTAAAACACATTAATCATATATATATTTGGTTTAATTCTTTGCAAAAATAAAATACTTCCATTATTAAAGTTTTTAAAGGTATGGAGACCAAATTTTTGAATTCTTTTTAAAGTTAATTTAATAATATTTAATTTTGAGCTTAAATATTTAACTTAAGTAGGCTCTATTAAACCAAAAAATTAGTATAAGAAAATCCTTTTACCATTTTATGTCTTTCTCCGGTTTCTTGTCTGGCTATGATATATTCACTTGTATTTTTCTCCCTTTATTATTACTGTTACTGCTCAGGGATCTGGCAGTGGGCATAGGAATAACTGCACAAGTTTAGTCTGAACAGTTGAAGATGTATATAAATGATCAAAAGTAAATGGAAAAATGCTTAAAGAGTACCTGTAATACTACTGAGCAGTGGCTAGATTTTCAAGGTTTCAGCCACAGAAGAAGTTACATACTGTGGAGCTGTGATCTCTCGATCAAAGAGAGTCAAGAGTACTTGGTATATTTTCTTCCATTCCATTTCAAAAATAGCCAATTTACCTTTTTAATCCCCCCAAAAAGGAGAAAAGTGATATAAATGCAGAATAATAGACAAAAAATTATCTATGTCATTTACTAAATTGTAATGTGTAATAACTACTAGTTTTATTATGATTTCATCAGGTTTTAGAAATCATTGTTCTAGGCTTTTTAAAAACCTATTGATCTAACTTGTAATTGCTAAATTTTAGAATCAATTATTATATTAAATGTAATGTTATTATATCACAGTATAACATATGGAATTTTATATCCAAGATATGTAGAAATAGTAAAGAAATGTTTTCAGTTCTCCATACTAATAGTTGGGGTGAAAGACATTTACTTAAAATATCACTTGTTTTTGAGATAGTCACATTTTAAAAGAATATTTCATTTTTTGTGAAAATGTGTTTATTACAAAAATTTTAGCAAAAGATGAAAGTAAAATCTCCCTATCATGCAGAGATAAGTAATGTTTTTCATCTAGGCTTATGCACTCAAATAATATACCCATGTTCATATTCTGACATTCCCACCTGACCTTCTTTTTCTGCCTGTCAAATGCAGATAAATTACAAAGCAGTTAATCTACTCTCAGTTTAACAGATGTTGTAGTCACAGTACTAATAATAACTGCTAGCTTTTATTTAGCACTGTCTTACATACCAGGCAGGCACTGAGTTAAGCACTTATATCTGCAGTTTTTTCTCTTAACCCTATTTTTAAATGGAAGTTAAGTTTCTCAGATATAAGAAATTGCCTGCAACTTTACAGTTTGCAGTTTGACAATTCAGTACAGTGTTCTTGTCTTGCTTTGCCACTAATTAGTTAAAATCTTGAAGACACATAATAAAATTAAGGCTGATGAGGGTGTTCCCCATCAGCTGGAGGAAATATTCTATTGCTGATATTGCACAAAGTTATGAGGATCAAATATTACATGTCCTGGTATTCTGAGAAGTGCAGTGGTTTTTATGAATGGGTTGTGGCTGTATTGTTAACTAGGAGAAAGTTCTTTTTATCAAAAATAACATTTTTGTCTACCTAATAATGTTTAAACATGCTAATATAATAGAAAAACATACTTATAAGCCTATGAATAGGATTCCATCTGTTTTTTAAAATCACATACTCTAAAAATCTTAACATTTACAGTAAATGTACTGCTTTACTAAGTATCAGCATTAATTATTAATCTGGGAAAGAATGTCTTGGAAATAGTGTCAATGTGATTAAACTAAATTTAAATGGTTTGTATCTGAAAGGTGACCGGCAAGAGTCAGTATCTTCGCGGCGGTATGACCTAACCAAAGTTTTAAGCACATTAATTACTGCTGCTTGCTTCTTGCATAACACCCTAGAATGCTTATTATTTAAGGGAGAATAAAAGTGCACACTGCAGTAATATACTGTATGTTGCCTTTGCCTGTCACTCTTTGAAACGAAGTGGCTTAAAATAAATGCTACAGTTGCTTCTTTATTAGATTCACTGCATTAATGCTGCACAGAGTATAAAACTAAATACAAAGCTCTAAAGTCGACTGGACAAATGATGACTGGTATACATTGTGGGTGGAGGAATAACCATCTTTTAGACCGTTTTGAAATTTTAAAATACACATACTTTATTCACGTTTGCTTCTTGCTTCTTATCACTGTAGAGTAATTGCATCTGTGTGAGTTTTTGCTTTTTTTTTTTGCTTTTTTCTTTTCTGTGCAGTCTTCAGTCTTGAGTATCAGTTTCCTCTATCCCTAGTTTTATGTAAACTAAAAACAGTTTGAACGTGTTATGTGGCATTTTACTAGAAGGTCAAAGCTTTAAAGAAAGAGCTTATAGGGAGTAGTAAAGTAATGATCTTCATATTTATTTCTCTCAAATTTTGGAAAGCTCTTTACATATCACCGGCATCACATCTTTTTCTACACTGCTCCTGATTTGATTTTTTATTCTAAATTGTCACTGTTTCACAATTTAGAAGAAAATTTAAGAGTATAATTAATTATATCAGTAACATTAATACCTTAAATTCATCTAGGAACGAAGAGCTCTAGAAAGAAGAATATCTGAAATGGAAGAAGAGCTCAAAGTAAGTAAACAGTGCTGTGGTATAAACTCAAATTTCACAATACTAGTATAGATACTATGTTTATTCATTGTTCTTAAAGTTGCTTATGCAGTTTGTGAGTTATCTATGTCTTGTGCTTCTATTTCTTCCTAAAGTCAGGTTTTAGGTGAGCTAGAAAAGTATTTAAAACTCAAATTCTTTTGGTAATCTGTTTTTATGGCACTTTTGATGTTCAGGTATAGAATAAATAAGATGATATTGACTAAGACTTGGGATGTATCATTTATTCTTTACATTTCAAATATTTTGTTCCCTGGGGAGAAAATGGTGAACGGTGATCATGCAAAAATGTTCTTTGAAAATGAAGGACATTAGATTAGTGGACAGAGGTACAGCTTATTGAACTCTGCATCACCTGTGAAAATAGATTGGTTTTGAATATTGGAAGGAATATTGAGTATTTGAATATTTGAATATTGCAGGAAGAAAAGCATAATATAATTAATTGATTACCTCTTATTACATTGGCTTGTATAAAATAATCATATTATAAATTAATGAACTAACACATAGGATATTATGCCCATAGAATTAGAATTTTAAGATTTAAATGTTTTTCTATTGAATTATTTGGTTTCTTATTGGAACATTATTGAATAACTTTGGAGAAAATTTTTTTGGATTTTGTTTGTGTATTTTGTTTGCTAAGGAATTTTAGAACTGCACTGTTTACTTATATAAATTTCATGGGATATTCTCTTAAGACTCTTAATTTTTTCTTCTTATATTTGTTGCCTATGATTCTTTATATTTCCATTGTACTCTTCCACTTTCTTATTTTTATTTTCTATTTCTTTATGTTCTGATTCCTGCAGAATCTGCACCAAATAAAGCAAATTCAAACTCTGAGAGAGTTAAATGAGCGACTGCTGACTGAGAATAGGGCCTTGACAAGAGTGGTAGCCAAGCGCTCAGGGTTCTGTAGGCAACTGCAGTCTGTGAATCTATAATTTGTAGTTTCATCATTTCTTCTTAGTAGAGCCAGGCAGGTGTTTTTGTATTAGTAAGCGTGTCTTGAGCTCACTTTTACGAATTAATGCCATTGTGTCTGGAACTTGTCGTGTAACTGTTTAATTGTGCATGGCTTCTCAGAATGTTAGAAAGTGTTACTAATTGTGTATTGTGACTGATAAACTGCAGTAAACTAAGGGAATGATCTCAGCATTTAGGTAAAAGACTTACCTGCACTTTTACAAAGCTTGTGCACATTTTTGGCTCTACAAATTTTTTAGCACTTAAAAATATGACTTTAAAATTCTTTACTAGAAAATGGAACACAAACAGTGTAACATGTATTTTATATATAATTAATATATGTGGAAGCTGAAGATTAAACATGAATTATCTGCTTTTCAAAATAATGTCATTTCAGTCAGAACCATCTTAATTAATATTACTCAGTTCTCTATTCTAGAGGTATCCTAATAGATAAACTTCAGATTACTATATTTTATATCCATACATTCTGAGCACAGGTTAAGAATTGATTGGTTCCACATAAAATTTAAGATAGTTTTGCAAGTAGTTTTACTTTTATCTAAATACATAACCTAGTACATTTTGAAAGCTGAGGAAAGAGACCTAATTATCTTGGAAAATATGTTTTAATGTCCAAAATAGAAGCTATTCCATTTCCTATCAAATCTGGCGGAGCACATGTCACTTGAATCATTTTTAGTAGAGAACCCAGTTGACTTACAATATTTCCACCCCCTCCTTCACTTTGTCTATAAAAAAAACTTATTGGTTTTCTGGTGTAAGGGTGTGTGTTTCTGTTTACTCCAAACACTAGTAGTATTTTTTATGCTTGGATATTATAAGACATTCAGGCTTATTACTTTGGCTTGTAAATTATTTTAGTCTAGTGATAGTAGTAATTGCTTTATTATTTAATTGAGCACCTATCTTGGGTCAAACATTATGTACTAGGCATTTAAACTTAATACAAGGTAAATCATTTAAGTAATTTTAATCATTTAAAAGAAGTCTGATTCCCTCAAAACTTCCCTAAATAGTTGGGTTTTCTTGTGGAGTAACAGTGTGCTTTTGAGGTCTGACATAAACAAAGCAAAAGGCCTTAATTTAGGCTAACAGAAACTCTTAAAGGAATTCCCTTTAAGAGCCTATTCTAACATAAAAAGAGTCTTCCTTTCCTTGGCTGCTCTAATATGGTATGCTTGTGAGTCATGATGTCAAGTGATTTAGTACATTTCAGTTGATAACTTTGGGAGAATAAACCTTTCATTTCATCATTTATTAAACTAATTAGCTTCACAAATTGTGGGGAGGGACCTCTTTTTTCCTGATATATGTTTTAGTCATTAGAAGTATATATAACTGACAAAGCTTGTTCATGTGTCTTGTGGTAAAAACATAACATTTAAAGAGGAACACTTTAATCTCACTATTGAATTCAAACTTTTTCTTCTATTTTTCCTCTCACAGATGTTACCAGACCTGAAAGCAGACAACCAGAGGCTAAAAGATGAAAATGGGGCCTTGATCAGAGTTATAAGCAAACTTTCCAAATAAAAAAAGCAGCAAGTAATGGAATTGCACATATTAGTAACCCAGTGGACCATAATTGACCGTCACTGGAAGCCTGGGAAGAATCCTTGGAGACTGTCATTTTTGGATATCCTGCCAAATGCCCTCTTATCTAGGAGTTTTGTTTAATTTTCTGTTTTTTTTTTTTTTCTTGTATCAAGACCATTGTTTCATGTTAATGCAGCTGCTGAGAAGAATTTTTTTTATGACTGAGAAAACTTGTTTACAGCTCCAGCATATAAGGAAAGTGTTCAAGGCCAGATATGCCTCAGATATTTAACCAGTAAGCCTTAGTTGTACATAAATACTTTTGTGTCAACAAAAACTCAGCTCTCACAGAAGACAGTTATTCAGCATTTTTTGATGTGCCACAGTTTCCAGTTTTTCAATATTTAATTTTATTTTATTTTTGTGTTTTTTTTTGTTTTTTTTTTTGCTTTACATCTAAGTTTGGGTTTGTATCTTTTCCTTCTAACTCTTCATGTGGCAGACTTTCTGTTGTCTCACAGCTTTCTCATTTACAGAAAAGAACACTTGCTCCTCTGAAATCATTGTCATATATTAGGCTAATGCTGTTGTCCCCACCTGGAACTGAATTGCTTGGTGGAACATTTGCTTTCACTGTTTGTGCAATATGCATTTATTCCTTTTATGAATGCTTTAAAGTCCATTGAGATTAGATTCTTTAAGTCCTATTTTCTGCCTTCATTGGTCACTTTTTGTTTTTGTTTGTTTTCTATTATTGCAGTATAAGATGTTAGGTTCTGTAATCTTCACATTCATTTTAGCAGGTACTGAGTGATGCTGTATATATAAATAAGTGTACTGTTTGATTTTTAGACCACCACATGGCATGCTTGACTATTATTTCAAATGTCTGTTAATGCAAAGTAGGCTACTCCATAATAGTGTTAAGAACAAAATTTACTAACAAAGTGATATAAAGACTTAAATTAACACATTATGTGGAGCCCTATCTTTACAAAAGTTTTCTACTGTAAAATGCTTTTACTTTTATTTGCAGTTTTCATTTGATAGTATTCAACCATAATTAAAGTTGCATAAGATAATTGCTTCACATTTCACATACCTATATTTATCTGAGTGCTGTCTAAAACTGTTGTGCTAGCCAAAGTAATGCTATAAAATCATTTGCAGACTTAACCCGTGAGTTCGTGTTAAATGCACTGTTATTGCCATGTGAAGAGGCATTGACTTTGATACCACCATCATGTTCAGACCATTTTATACATTTCAGTGGCCTTTTTTAAAAAAAAAAGAAAGAAAGAAAGAAAAGCAAAACCAAGTAAATAGTGAAGATGGCATTTATTTGGACAAATAGCTTTTATATTTTCATTAAACCATGCAAAAAGTACTATATCTTTCTGGCACATAACTGTCTCCTTAACCACTGAACAGTTCAGCCATTTGAATAAATTGTACATTGTAAAGCTTATAGTAGCTAATTGTATTATTGATTGTATTGTATACTATATTAAATGTGAATTTGTACCCCTTCATTTTAAAAGGTCATTGTGTTCTACTGCCTATTTTAGATTACTTTGGGGTTGGGAAAGGGTGTTTTGGTAAGCAGGATTTTAAGTCCTCTCTTGATTGGTTTTATGAAGATATAAGGTTATGCTCTTACTACCAAGCTCAGGATTCTTGAATTTAAAGGTACAAGGATAGTTGTGGGAATTTTATTTTTGGTTACATTTGAACTGTATGAATGGTGGGTCTGAATATAGAGAATTTCCATGGTCTTACGTGGACGTAAAACATACAGATAATTGATCAGTTTGAGTGACTGCAACATATTCTGGTTGCACAACAGTTAGGCATGCTAAGGATTATATTTGTGAAGTTTGGATGCCTGTGAAGAATGATTAAATACGTGTTTCTAATATTTTAGTGTTTTGTATTTAGGTTATTTATTCTTTGTATCTAAAACTGAACAGCTACTGTGCTATATTGATTTTATTGGTAGTATTGAGCAGACCTTGTTTCTGCATGAAACTAGTTGCAAAACCCACTATTTTGGAAATAAAAATGTATTTTGACATATACAAATAAAATGAATAAAACTATTTTAAATGTGTGAACTTTTACTGAAGACATTTAAAAACTTTGTTCTGAGATATTTAAATTCTGCATGGGTATCTTCACTAACTGCTTTACTTGGATTCCATTGGAATACTTTTTGAAATTGTAATATTGTGATAACTTGCACAACATTGTACATGCACATCTGTAAATTTAAGCTTAATTGCCATATTTATGCAATCTGTGTATCAATTTGAACAAATGTTTATATATTTTACATAAAGCTATCTGTGTGCAGAATCTGAGAACTAGTTTTTTTATGATAAGTGGGTAAAGAATAATGATGAAAGTGAGTTTCAAGATAGTAGCTTTGTAAGCGTAAGACTTCTTTTACCTAAGTATTTCGTGGCTTCTAAATTAAACCTGTGCTTTTTCTTAATTGTAGACGTAGACTTGGGAATACATATAAAGATAATATTCCATTGAAACGTAAAGTAGTAGATCATTCTGCAACCTAGAACTGTCCTAAATTTCAACCCCAATCTAACTATACATCTGCACGTAGATAAGAGACATTTCTGGTTTGGGAACTTTGGTAGAGGACTTGCAGTGGTAAAGCCTGTGTTTAACAAATTAATACAGCAAGACTTGAATTCTCTTGTTTCCACTTCCAGTACATGCTTACAGAATGATAGATATTCCTGTTGTTTTTCCTGCATACAGAAAAGAATTTCACGTGCAAATACGTCAAACCAAATGCAAAATGGCTATAGAACTATCTAGGAGAGTATTCATATCAAAAGTAAAGTAGATATTCACTAATTCATTAGGCTGCTTTATTCATTTGCTTAAGGGTTTATTAGTTCAGTTGCTCAGTCGTGTCCAACTCTGCGATCCCGTGGGCTGCAGCACACCAGGCTTCCCTGTCCATCACCAACTCCCAAAGCTTGCTCAAACCCATGTCCATCAAGTCAGTGATGCCATCCAACCATCTCCTCCTCTCTCATCCCCTTTTCCTCCTAAGGGTTTATTACCACTTAGTCTTTCCTGGCAAATCTGAGACAGTCAGGACTCCCAGTGTCAGCACTGAGTGAGTGGTATAAAAATCAAACATCCAGAAGTCAAATTGTTTCCAAACTAGTACACTGTATTTCCCGTAAGAAATAACAGCCTTGTAGGTTGTCCTCCACTTTGTCATTATAAGCAGAATACAGAACTAACTCTCTGACCAGTTTTTAACAATCCATTAGTTGTTATATCTTGCTAGAGAAAACCTTTGGTTGCAAAGATGAAAGCTGACTGATAAGCAGTCTTTTCTGTGATGTTCCATGTTTTACACTGTGTGTGGTCTCTGTCAGAGTGTGCATATGAGAGTTGTCCAAAAAGGGTTGGGTGTAGAATGAAGTACTTATTTTCCTATTAAATATCTTTAAGTAGCTAAGTACGTTTCTTGACTTTCATTTTAGAAAGGTTCTTGGGTTATGTGCTGTGAAACAACAGTGCTTTCTCTGGTGTCATGTTGCTGCTCCAAGCCCACCAGATGATCAGATTACAAAGTGATGAATTTAAAAACATAGGAGCCAGAAGTTTAAAATTCTATAATAAAATGACATAAATAATTCTTACTACTGTAGCTTAAAACTTTACAAAAGTTTTCTAAAGTTTATTAGAAGTAGGCATTTTTGAGCCAGGTTGTCCTAACTTGTCATTGCTTAAATTTCAGTAAACATACAGGTTACAGAAATTAACTGTCTTTTAATTAATTTTAAAAAGCTGAAGAGGAAAAGAAAGGGAACTGTGAGAAGAAGTGAGCAATCTTAGATTTTGTCCTGGATAACATTGAGTTTGTCAAGCCTGTAGTTTGTCTTGCAGGTCTAATGAGAATGGAAGTGAAAAAGAGAAGGAGTTACCTTCTCTCCCCTTCCCCACACTCAGATTACGCATGGATTTGTTTTGATACAGGTCTGTTTCAATAGGCTATCTAGTTTGATCTTTAAACAACAGGCTGGGTGGCTATCGGTGAGAAAGCTGAGATGCACAGATTACTAACTGGGTCAACATTCCAAGCCTAGTACAAAGCTAATCTCTTACCTAAATTTAGTGGTGGTTATCATTGTTTTTCCCAAATCCTCATCTAGGACTTTCCCCTCTGTATTGCTTAGTTTTATAGTTTTACATGTTGAGATGGTGTTTCTTGGGTTTTTTGTTTTTTTTTTTCCTTCTCTTCTACATTCTTTCTCTAATCCCACATTCTTGCTCTCACACCCACTAAATTTTTTTCTCCTTAGGACTTTACTAAACTGTTTGCCCTATACTGAGATTCTTAAAAGATTTAATGCTTTCAATGCTTAAGCAACTAGTTGATTTCCTGGTGCAAATTCCAACTATGCCTAGTAGACCATCATAAATTTGTAAAAAGATTTTCATACATGTGCAAAAGATCTTTTGTATCCTTAAAAAAAATAGATTTTTTAATTGATGATGAGAGCTTAAATTTGAAATCTTTCTTATTCCCAAGTAAGATAAGCAGCATTGGTAGTGCTATGGTTTTAGCAGCATATTTTTCTCCCCCATTGTAAACATGTGGAATACCAATATGTACACTGGGTAAAATTTGTATTCACATTAACTCATAGAAATGACCCCACCCGAAAAGAAAACACAGTTGGCCCTCTGCATCTGTAAGATGTACTGTACTATGTGCTATTTGAGGAACTTGAGTATCCACAGATTTTGGTATCCATGGCAATCCTGGAGCCAATCCCCCACAGACACGGAAGGACACTTGTACTCAAAACATACAATAGATCTCTCTAAGATACGCATGGCAGCAGCATGACTCTAACTGGTTACTGTATAATAGATGGACCTTGCCTGCTCTTGCTTTTATAACAAATGGGCTAAATGTGTTCTAGCGATACATTAGTGTATGTGAATATGTTCTCAGCTAAAGAAAATCAAGACCAAGCACAGAGCAGAAGCAGCTCCACACAAAAGTGGGATAACTTTACAGCATAACTTAGTATGTTAGTTCTCTCCAGTGTTTTACAATTCCCTGTGTGTCTAAGTGTATTTTTTTTTAATTTGATGAAAGCATTTTTAGCAAATGGTTTGAATCAAAATTTTGTGGGATCCGTAGAATGCCTTTGCAGAGCCTATAGAGTGCTGATTTTTTAAACACTTGACAGTGTGGAAGGAGCTTTGGATTTGGTCAGATCTAGATTAAAACCTCAGCTACACCACTTTATAATTGTCTGACATTGGCCAGATTAACATTTCAGGCCCACTTTTTCAGGTAAATGACATATCTGTATAAAGTGCCTTGAACAATTCATGGAGCTTAGTGGATTGATGTGGAACAAATATATTATTACATTGAAGAAATTGCATTTATCACTGTGACTTTTAAAACTACTAATCTACTTTAGAATGTTTCTGCTAGGATCGTTTGATAAATGTTGATAAATAGCATTGCCAAAGAATCTCTTCATGATAAAAAAAAATTAATAGGATTGTTTCTTCTTAGAATATATTAAAGCAAAATTTTAGATTAATTTACCCAGTTAACCATAAACACCTATTTTTATTCTGGGATCAGTAAGGGAGAAATAAATGAGGTGGATTTTGGAGGACCTCCTACAACCATTGGAAAGAAGGAAAAAGTACCATACACCTCTGTAACCATGCCACATCTGTCCTAACAGATTCCAGGAATACTGACTTTCGTGTGAATCTAATCCATCTGTGGACCCCGTTCCTATTATCAAAAAAGGAGAAAGTGTCAAGAAATTTATAGAAGTGCTATACAAAATGTATTTGCCATGGAAGAGGCGGAGTTGGTAAGTATGGGCTAGTGTTTTAATGAGTATGTAATGTTATTTGTTACTCTAAAATTTTAATTTTTCATTAAAAGTCATAGTTATTGAAATGTCAGAATTATCAGTACTTTTGGATGCTTCTAAAGTTTGCATAATGCTTCTCAGAAGATATCATGAGGTCATCTGGGCCATTTATCAGCCTACAGATCAAGGCCGACCTTGTTGCATAATCTTCTGTGTAAGAGTTGTATAATCTCGCCTATGTCTGAAATTTAAGAGTCCTGCCCATCTCATTTTTAGACTGTACCTCTGACGTCTAGTACTTCCTTTACTGTAACTAGTAAAAAGCCAGAGGAGGGGAGCTAGATCTTAGTATTTTCAGTGTTCCAGATCCTATACATACTGTGTTTTTCTGGTTTTAAGTGATTTTTAATCTGTTTATTTTATTTTATTCTACTATGAGCTTTGTGAAAGGACACAGTCTTTTTCATCTTTGTTCTCAGCCATTAATAATAGTTCCTGGCACATAATGTGTATTTACTTGATGTTTTTAAAAGGAATGAGTAAATATGAATAATTGTGATACATATATATTGTGGAGGAAAAAATATTGACTGTCATCTAGACTTCAAAGAAAACTTTGTAAGATGTTGAGTCCTGCAGACTTTGTTTCAGTCATTCAACCCATGGCGGATTCAACTCAGTGTATGGCAAAACCAATACAATGTTGTAAAGTAAAATAAATAAATTAAATAAACAAAACAAAACATTCTTAGTAGCACTTCCATACCAAGCAGCCCTGTGGGGTAGGAATACTCCCAGAAGCCAACAAGCAAAGACAAGAGCTGCCTTGTGGAGTTTCGTTTCAGGGAAGAGGAAAATGGAAAATAAGCAGTTACACTATTTTAGGAGATAGTAGTTACTGTGGGAAAAATAGAGCAAGGAGGGGGGGTGAGCTAGTCAGAGAAGGCTTCACTGAGAAGGTAACATCTGAGCCAAAACTGAAAGAAAGGGAAGACAAAAACTGCAGGTGTTTGAGAGAAGAGCATGTCCAGGCAGGCGGAGCCACGTAAGCAAAGGCCTTGAGGTGCCGATGCGCTTGAGTGTTTTGACGAACAGTAAGGCTAGTGTGGTTACATAGCCAAGTGAGCAAGAAGCAGAGCAGTAGAAGTTGGAGAGGCATCTGAGAGCTGGATGAAGGGCGTGTTCAGATGACTTTTGACCATATGCTGTGCACCGGCCTTGCTGCTTCAAGAACTTGACTGCATCTCTCTCTATACCGATATCCCAAGGATATTTTGTAACTCTTTATAATAAAAGTCACATACTTTTGTAAAATTAGTTTTTATAAGAGATAATAAGAATTTGATTATAAATTGGGGAGAATAATTATACTAGAAAATCTAGGCTAATTTTCCTAAGGGGAAACTTACTCATATGATGTAAAACATTTGCTAAAACTCCTTGACAACCAAATTAGAA